ACCGACACCATCCTCTCCCTTCATCACTGATACACAGTGGCAGCAGTATACATCACCTGCAAGATGCACGGCACCAAATCACCAAGATTGCCTTGAGAGCACCTTTGAAACTCATGACCTCTACTATCTCAAAGGACAAGGCCAGCAGATGCATGGCAATATCACCAATTGCAAGTTTCCATCCAAGGCACACACCACCCTGACTTGGAACTGTATTATTGTTCCTTTATAGTTGCTAGGGCAAAATACTGGAACTCCCTTCCAAACAGCCCTGAGAGCCCCTACTCCTCAAGAATTGCAGTAGATCAGGAAGGCAGCTCAATCATAATTCTATTGGTTTCAAAATGGTCATGGAATAGGATAAGCCTTTCAAAAAATTTGAAGTTTTTAATTAGAGTACGGCAAATTTTAATGTATGAGACTAGAACTTTCAAAAGTTGATTGGAGTAGACTGTTCACAGGTAAAGGGACATCTGACAAGTGGGAGGCTTTCAAGAGCGTGATGACAAGAGTTCAGAAGCATTATGTTACTGTTAGCGTGAAGGGTAAGCCTGTTAAGATTAAGGAACAATGGATGAATAAAGATATTGACTTCCTAGTCAAGAACAAAAGAGAAACTTATTTTAGATATAGACAACTTGGTTTGGTTGAATCTCTTAATCAGTATAAAGAGTGTAGGGGCATTCTTAAGAAGGAAATCAGGAAGGCAAAGAGGAGATACAATTACAGTGTTCAAAAGACATTGGATAAGTACATGAATAGGAAAGATTTGGAGGGATATGGGCCAGGAGCAGGCAGGTGGGACTAGTTTAGTGTGAGATTATGTTCGGCATGGACTAGTTGGACTGAAAGGTCTGTTTCCATGCTGTATGACTCTATGACTCACCACCACCTTCTGCAGTGTAATGAGGAATGGTCATTAAATGCTAGCCTAGCCAGCGATACCACATCCCATGAACAAATAAAGAAAAATTAACAAAATCCTAAGCAGCTCACATCAATTGCAGTATTACTGATCTAGTCTGAAAACTACTCTGTAAATACTTTGATTTCACAATAAATCTGCTTATGTTAGAAAAATGAACAATTGAGTAGGGACTGAGCAACAAACAGTTTTGTCTTGTAGGAAATGTCTGGTATTTGGTGTAGTTTTGATAGATTGGGGAAATAATTTTAAAATCAAAAACAAACACAATATGTACAATTTATTTTTAATATTGATGTATATATTTGTTTTTAATCATAAGACATAGAGCAGAAATAGATAATTCATCCCATCATGTCTGCTCCACTGTTCAATGAGATAATGGCTGATCTGATAACTCTCAATTCCGCTTTTCTGCCTTTTCCTTATAATGCTTGGTTCCTTTAATGATTAAAAATGTCTATCTCAGCCTTGAATATATTTGACGACCCAGTCTTGATAGCCTTCTGCAGTAAACAATCTCACAGATTCACTGCCCTTTGAGGGAAGAAATTTCACCTAATCTCTGTTTTAAATATGTGACCCCTTATTCTGGAATTATGTTGTCAGGTCCTAGATTCTCCCACAAGGGGAAATAACTTGTCTGCTTTTACCCCGTCAAGTAATCTAAGTATCTTATATGTTTCAATAAGGTCACCTCCCCTTCTTCTAAACTATCACTCAACCTCTTCTTATAAGATAGTGTTTCCCTACCCAATATCAAACCTAGTGAATCTTTGAACTGCCACCAATACAGTATATCTTTCATTGGAAAAGGGTCTCAAATCAGTTCATTGTATTCCAGCAGTGGTCTGACTATTGTCTTGTACAGTTTTACACTCCATTTCTTTTGAAATAAAGGCTACTGAACTTGGAGGTAGCTGTTTGTAATTCCTGTATGAGGACTCCCAAATCCCTCTGTTCTGTAGTTTTCTATTCTTCCTGACAAAGTGTATAACCTCACATTTCCCTACATTATATTCCATTTGCCAAGACTTTTCCCATTTCCTTAACCTGTCTACATTCCTCTGCAGACTCTCTTTTGTGTCATCCTCCCATTTGTTTTCCAACTTATCTATGTGACATTCGCAGATGTGGTAATAATATATTCACTTTCCTCAGCCTAGTCATTATTATATGTTGTAAACAATTGTGGTCCCACCACTGATCCCTCTATTACATACCACTAATTACAGGTTTCCATCCTGAAAATACCTGCCAAAATAACTGCATAGAGACGGTATCCCGTCACCAAGTATTTACATGTGCACAGCATATGGGCTCTAACTAGCCTGGTTAAAGCCAGTCCCTAGAATAAGAAGACTTTCTGAATCTCCTGTTTATATCTGTCAGCCAGGATGCCCTGATTGGCCCAGGTTAACAACCCCAATCAAGGATCTCATGGACCTGGTTCCAATCATTATACCCACCTTATCCCAAATGTCTATCTTCTATTAGTTAGCCAGTCCTCTATCTATGCTAATACACTACCTCTAACACCATGGGCTCTTACCTTCTTAAGCAGTCTAACATGTGGTATCTTATCAAATGCCTTCTGAAAATCCAAATATATTTCATCCACTGCTTCACCTTTATCTATCCTGTATGTTCCCTCTTCAAAGAATACTATTAAATTTGACAGACATGTTTTCCCCTTCATGAAGCCATGCTTATTCAGCTTGATCATATTATGTACTTCCAAATGCTCAGCTATTACATCCTTTTTATTTATTCACTTGTGGGGTCTGGGTATCGCAGGCTGGGCCAGCACTTAATGTCTGTTCCTAGTTGCCCTTGAGAAGACTTCAAGAAGTGAGGTGACTTCTTGAACTGCTGCAGTTCACGTGCTGTAGGTAGATAATACAATCTAACATTTTCCTAATAACAGATGTTAACTGGTCTATAGTTACCTGTTTATTTTGTCCCCTCTTTAAATAAATAGATGGAGGTTGGTGGTGGAGGGTTGCTTTTCAGACTGGAGGCCTGTGGCACAGGAATCAGTGCTGGGTCCACTGCTTTTTGTCATTTATATAAATGATTTAGATGTGAATATAGGAGATATGGTTAGTAAATGTGCAGATATCACCAAAATTGGCAGTGTAGGGGACAGTGAAGAAGCTTGCCTCAGATCAGATGGGCTGATTGGCTGAGGAATGGCAGGTGGCGTTTAATCTAGATAAATGTCAGGTGCTACATTTTGGTAGAGCAAATCAGGGCAAGACTTATATACTTATTGATAAGTCCTGGGGAGTGTTGCTGAACAATGAGACCTTGAAGTGCAGGTTCATAGTTCCTTGAAAGCAGAATTGCGGGTAGACAGAGTAGTGAAGAAGGTATTTGATATGCCTGCCTTTATTGGTCAGTGCATTCGGTACAGGAGTTGGGAGGTCATGTTGCAGCTGTACAGGACATTGGTTAGGCCACTTTTGGAATACTGCATTAAATTCTGGTCTCCTTGCTCTAAGAAATATGTTGTTAAACTTGAAAGGGTTCAGAAAAGATTTACAAGGATGTTGCCAGGGTTGGAGGGTTTGAACTATAGGGAGAGGCTGAATAGGCTGAGGTTATTTTCCCTGGAGTGTTGGAGGCTGAGTTGACTTTATAGAGGTTTATAAAATCTTGAGGGGTATGGATAGGGTGAATAGTCAAAGTCTTTTTCCCAGAGTAGGAGAGTCCAAAACTAGAGAGCATAGTTTAAGGTGAGAGGGGAAAGATTAAAAAGGGACTTAAGGGGCAACCTTTTCACACAGAGGGTGGTGCATGTAAGGGATGACTTGCCAGAGGAAGTGGTGGAGGATGGTAAAATTATAACATTTAAAACGCATCTGGATCGGTATATGGATAAGAAGGGTTCAGAGGGATGTGGGCCAAATGCTGGCAAATGGGACTAGATTAATTTAGGACATCTGGTTGGCATGGACGAGTTGGACCGAACGGTCTGCTTCTGTGCTGTATATCTCTATCATTCTATGACTCTAAATGTGTTAAATTAGCAGTTTGCTAGTCTTCAGGGACGTTTTCCAGAATCTAGGATTTTTGGAAATTTACTACCAGTGCATCAACTATCTCTATAGTTACTTCCCTTAATATCCTGGGATGGATCCCATCAGATCTAGGTGACTTATTGGTCTTTAGCTCCATTGACTTCCCTAGCACATTATTCTAGTGATATATATTTCTCCTGTCTTTTTGCTCTTGACTATTTAGGAATTTTGGAATGCTATTAGTGTCTTTCACAGTAAAGACTTAAGCAAAGTATTTATTCAACTCCTCTGCCAAGTCATGATCCCCAATATTACTTCCTCAGCCTCGTACTGTAAGGGCTCATGTTGGCTTTTGTCTCTATCTTCCTTTTCATATACTTAAAGAAGCTCTAGCCACCCATCTTGATTACAACTTACAACCTCAACATTCATCTTCTTCCTCTTTTCTTTTGATCATATTTTCTTGATTTTTAAAACCATCCCAATCTTCTGGTTTACTATTAATCTTTGCTAAATTGTATGAAAAATTATTTTTCTTTCAATTTAATACTATCCTAAACTTCCCTGTTAACCAAGGTTGGCTTGTCCCCTTCCTAGAATACTTCTTTCTTACTGGGATTTGTTTTTGCTGTGAGCCATGACTTATTTTCTTAAACACCTGCCATTGTTCCTCAACTGTCCTTGCTGCTAAACTCCTTTCCCACTTCACACCAGCCAGCTCTGCCCTCATTCCTTTATAACTGCCATTTGTTAAGCTTAGTACAGTTGTTTCTGACCCAGGTTCCTCCTTCTCAAACTGAATGCCAAATTCTTCCATGTTATCATCACTGTCTCCTACAGGATCTTTTACTCTGATGTAATTTATTAAACCTGCCTCATTAGGCATCACCAGATCCAAAATAATCTGATCCTTGACTGGATCCACAATCTATTTTTCCAGGAAACTATCCAGTTTCATTATGATATTTTGTATTTAAGGAATTTTATCATAAGATTTATAATCTGGAATATTTAGATTATTAATATTTTTATTGTGGCATTTTGTGTTTAAGAAATTCTATCATAACATGTACGATCTGGAATATTTGGATATCTCCCATTGCCTCCAAGTCTCTGATTTGAGCACAAAGACGTTGGCTTTCTGTTGCAGAAGGCTCATTTCACTGAACATCGCTGGATGCCGAAAGGTAATATCAGAAACCTTAAAATAATGGAAATTTATTTTATTAAGGTATCCTTCCCTTTTTCCTTGTTTTTGCCCCTTAGTAGTCCTGCAAGAGTTATACAGGAGGACTACATGGTTTGCCTGATTCAATACCCTTCTGTACCCAAACGGACAATCCAAAAGATTTAGTCTTCAGACTTCCGACAAGGTGGCTGATCTTGATCTGGAGCAGAAGGCCAACATCTTACTTAAGTGCAATACTTAAGTTATTTTTAGGACCAAACTAATTAATCAATCCTGACATGAGTGATGCCAGTTTAAAACAAAACTATGATATCAATCACAATTCAGGTGGTCTTTCTTCAGGTATAACCTGGCTACCCCCTTATGTTTAATTTACGATAACTCAAAAATAAAAGCAAAAATGGAGGGTATTGCTTTTGCTTTTTCTACAAAAACAAGCCAAAAGTATTAATAAAATCTCAAGTTTTAGATTCAGTCTGTAGCAGAACAGTATACTTTCAGTCAGACTTCCTTGGGTCCCATGGTCTTTAAAATGTACTTTTCTATAAACACGGTAAAGACTTATGCAAAGTATTTATTCAACTATTCTGTCAAGTCATGACCCCTAATATTACTTTCCCAGCCTCGTACTCTAAGGGCCCATGATTGGTAAATCTGATTTTCAATCCAGACATTGACTGGTGGGTAGTCCAGCAAGAAATCCTTTTGAAGGTTGGGCTTTTTGTCCATCATGGAAAATTCCAACTGGATCTCACAATATCTTGTGTTTTTAAGGAAATCATTTCACGCAGTCACAAGTAAAGCCTTCTTCACAGGCCATTTGTGGTGTTCACGGATCTAATATTCCCTTGTGAGGAAACAGTTGCTTGTCAGAATCTCATTCCCCTGCCAATCTGGTTTAAAACCATCCCAACAGCATTAGCAAACGTCCCCAAAAAGATGTTAGTCTCATTTGTATTCGGATGTAACCCATCCAACTTGTACAACTCCCACCTCCCAAAGAAATGATCCTAATGCCTCAGGATTCCATAGCCCTCCCCTCTTGCACCATCTCTCCAGCCACGTATTCATCTGCTCTATTCCTTCTATTCCTATAGTCGCTATTGCCTGGCATTGAGAGTAATCTGGATAATACTATCTTTGAAGTTCTGCTTTTAAATTTATTACCTCACTCCCTAAAGTCTGTTTGTAGGACCTCATGTTAATAGTCTTCCTATGTCATTAGATCAAGCTGTTTACAGAGTTAATGTTTCAGGTCCACTGATCCTTCTTCAGGATTCAGTTTGGCTAGCCTTCACAGAAGAGTCATCACTCCATTTCGAAGAGGGAAAAGCAGTTTGCAAGTGAGATGCAGTTAGGGAATTTTCTCACTACCTGCCTGGTCCTTTTGTTCTGTCTGATGGTCAGAGTTCAACTATAAAAAAAACTTACATTTAGTACCTCCACAAACTACAGAAACATAGTCACACTCATCGTGCAGGGAAAATAGCAGCCAATTTTCACACACGGTAGGGATGGTTGATCAAATATTCTGTTTCCTTGATATTGGCTATGTCATCAGAACTCCTTGCTTTTCTTTGCCTAGTGCCCTAGGATCTTTTGCTTTTAAATGTGAGTACGGAAGCTTTGGTTTAACTTTTCATTAGCTGGTCAGCACCTCCAACAGTGCAGCTTTCCTTTAGTACTACATTGAAATGTTAGCTGTAGAAAATTATAGTGATTGCCATAATAAAATGCACTGTTTGCAAAATCAGATTTTTATTTTTTGTTTTCTTTTTATTGATGTAACAGATTACTGACTTAAGTATCCAATACTTGGCTGGGGTGTGCCATTATATCTACTTCTTGGATATCTCAGGTTGTGTCAATCTCACTGACTCAATATTCAACTTCCTTAAGAAAGGCTGCAAAAAGCTACGGGTTCTGAAGATGCTTTACTGCACAAACATCACACAGTAAGTAAAACTAATTAGTATTATTGAGTATAGGCATGAGGAGATCACCTGCATTACATAAATGGAGAAAATATAAATATCAAGACAAAGAAGAGAAAGATGTTTGACTAATTTACCAAAATGAAAAACAGCCTTCAGTAAGTACTAACGTAAAATAAACATTTCAGAATACTGAAGAAAATACACCAAGGACAAGATGTAAAATGGATATAAAATGGGACAGCAAAGAAATAGTTTTTTTTTGAGGATTTTGAAAGCAGGTGAGAGGTAGTAAGGCAAAATGTTTTGTATTAGAGTTGTGGTGTGAAAACTAGATTTGCTGCAATTTAGTGAATTAGTAACAATTGGTACTAACCGTAGACTACATGGAAGATTCTGATATTTGTCTGGTGCCTCATTTTAAAAAAAAAAGTTTTCTGAGCATGTTGATAGCTTACCTAGCAGACAAGAGATACTTTTGCTGAATAAAATGGCAAGTGCAACACTGAAGTCCAATGGAGAGGAGAGAAATAGGAGCACAGTATCTGTCTTATTCTTGATCACCACAGTACTCTGAAAATTTAATGTTATATACAATTACTTGGAACAATGTTTTGACGAGTCAAACAAAAACATGGAAATGAGTTGGGATGCAGATAAAAGAGAAACCCCAATGAGAACTGCAGCATTATTTGTGTGCCATTTTAATTCTCAGGTCTGACTCAAAAATGACAGTAGTATTTCCTGCCACAACAAGTTGTAGTTGACTCTGAATGAGAAATTAGATCTACAGCCTGAAGACATTCAGGACTCAATATAATATCACTGCTAGGCAAAGGATTTTGAGAGATTCACCCAGATTCAAGTGGAGCCTGGGGTAGCGCTTCTGATCCACAAGGAGTTTTCACAAAAGTAGTTCTGTAATACTAACCTTTATTCTTTATAGGCAGTCAGCACCGCCTCCATGGTTTGGCTGTTGGACTTGCATTGAATCGGGGTGGGGGCTGTACAATAGTAAAATCGCATTACAGTGTCAATGACATTATCAAGCCATATTTTTAGAGTTTAAACTAAGCCCCTAGAGGGTTGAAATGGCTATAGAAATGCAGCAATTCAGACTGGTAAGTAAACTTGGCCTAACTTTAAACCTCCTGAATACGTTCACCAGTATAAATGTAGGTTCATACCTGCAATACTGTGAACAGTTTTATCGAAGATATATCAGCATTAGAGGCAGTGCAGAGAAGGTTCACTAGATTGATCCCAGGTATAGAAAGATTTTATGAGGAGAGATTGAGTAGGTTGGGCTTTTACCCATTGGAGCTTAGAAGAATGACAGGAGACCTAATTGAAAAATATAAACTTCTTAGGAGGCTTGACAGGGTAGATACAGTCAGATTGTTTCCCTTACAGGAAATTCTTGGACCGGTGCATATAATCTCTAGAATAAAGGGTCACCTATTTAAGACAGAGACGAGGAGAAATTTTCCTTTCAGAGGGTGGCAAATTTGTGAACTTCTTTACTGCATAGGGCTGTTGAGGTTGGGTCAGTCAGTATAGCTAAGGTTGAGATAGACAGATTTCTAATAATTAAAGGAATCAAGGGCTACGATGATAAGGCAGGAAACCGGAGCTGAAGTTTATCTGATCAGCCATGATCTGACAGAATGGTGAAGTGGACTCAAGGGCTGATTGACTTACTCCCGTTCCTATGTCTTATGGTTTTATGTTCTAAGTTAGAAACTCAGGCCTTCCTTCATTCTTTCATGGATGTCGCCACTGCTGGCAAGGTCACTACTTCTGCCCTTTTCTACCGGTGTTTGAATTGAATTATTTGACAGGCCATGACAAAGGGCATTTAATAACCACACTGTTGTAATTTGGAGTCACATGTAGGGTGGACCAGGCAAGGACAGCAGATTTCCTTCCCTAAATGATGCTAATCAATCAAATAGGGGTTTACAACAATTGATAGTTTCATGGTCGCCATTACTCAGATTATCTTTATAACCCCGATTTATTGCCAGAGCATTAGCCAAGGCCTCTAGATCACCGGTCTAGTGACATTACCACTATGCCACCACCTCCCCTTGGTGTGAAGAGAACTTGACAACATCAGTTTTACTACCACCTAGAAAATAGAGGATTCTGCAATATAGCATTCTATCCATTCAATCATGAAGGGCTGCAGAGACAAGATAAAAATTGGTAAACTGGCATTCTCAAGAGAGTTGCCACTTAATCTATAAAGTCATTAGCTTAAAGGGTATTTTCCTCTACACTTGTAAATCAGTTCCAAATTATATAGGCAGGACTTTCATGAGCCATGCCTGAGCCTCTAATGCTGCAGGGAACCGTGTCTTGCCAAAGTATGCTGCTATTGTGGGAGACAGTTTGTAGATCCCCAATTCTGATTTGAATAGTTTTACATACAAACATTTTGACCAGCATATATACAAATAGATGGGAATAAAGAAGATGGGAAAAATCTATTCTGTCCAAATCTACCTCTTCTAGGCTTGGTATATGCATGTACACTATTTTGCTCTTCATCTGGTGATTACCTCAGTATCATTCACCTTACAGAGATATAAAAATCTAAAGCAATCAAAATTGAGTAATTTCGCTTCAACCTATCGCAACCAAGCAATCCAGGACACCACGAGAATCCATAAGTCCTTCTAATTCCAGCTTTCATATTTTCATCTATAATTAGAAATCAGGAAACTACTCAGTCATTTTTGAAGGACTTCAGAGAATTCATATCCATCACTTGAATTCATAATTTGCCTTAGAAGATGGCAATTTTCCAAAAATCTAACTGCTTATGTTTTATACACTTTCCCATTCTTAGCCAACCTAAAATATTCTATGCAACTGGGCAAAAGGTGATGCCTATACTATTTGAATATCTCCATTATATCAACATCCCACATGATTAGATACTATCCAAATGACACCAGTGAAAACAAAATCCAATGTTATCTTTCTTAGCATGTTGCTTGACATGTTAAAAAGTATTTGTTGACAGTATCAATAATATTTCTATCCTGCCTCCTTCAAAACTTGGCTTCTTCCCATACCCCATCCACCAGTGTATGTAATAGATGTGCAAGTGAAATTTTCCATAATTGCTCATTGTTCTCTGTCCTGCTGGCATGTGACACATAGAATGATAATAGATGCTAAGGATCAATTTGATTCCTGCTACCAAGCTGCATCAGTTTCTTTCTCTGCTGAGATCTTTAGCAAAGTTGGGCATTAATTTTGCAATATGCTGTTATAGATAGAATATTATTACTTAAGAACTACGGTTCCACCATTTTAATTTGGAGACAGCTAAGCATGAGAGGGAGAGGAGAGAAATAACAAAAGATGACATGATATTAAGAACCAACAAATATAAATTCTAAAAGTCTGGACTGGACAGAGTATACTTATTTACACAGCAACAAATAGAGTTAAAGGAACCAATGTAAATCATTCACATACATGAATAGTGCTAGCTCAGACCTGTGATGCCTATACATACATTAACCGAGGATAAAAAAAAACTGAAAGTGAAGCATGTCCAACCTCCATTTCAGGTTACTGTTTATACTGAACAAAAGAACTCATGGGTTTCCATTAGCAATTTGTTTGCATTTTTGTTTCAGTGCCCAAATAGGAGCTGTTTAACAAGCTTTTAGGTTGTTTTTGTTTGTTTTTAAGAGATACCACTGGTTAAAGTTTATTGAGAGAATGAACTTGTTATAGGTCTGCTAACAGTGGAGGTTGTCCAAGCTGGACAATGCCAAGGATAAATATTTATTAGCCACTGATATGCCTGGTAGCAATATATATCCCTCAAACAGAGGAGAAGAGCCCAGGAAGTTTGAAAAAAGCCATCAGCAAGTGGCAAGAAAGCCAGGAAATAAAATCTTGTAAGTCCTACTAGGTACAACACAACTCATGGACTGACTAAAGAAGTGTCATTTGAATTAAACCAGTAGGAAGTGGCAACAGGATGGGGAACTGAGAGACGTCTCAGTACCTACAGGGGGGTAGTAAAACCCATAAGATTTAGGTACCCGAGGAAGGGTCATTCAATTTACACAGGGCTGAATCCAACCAGAAGTATCAGAAAAGGTCAGGATTGACCCCAAAGGAGTTAGAAGTTATTTAGGCCAATAACCATAAACATAGGCCAGAAGGGGCCCAGCAGGGTGGGCATGTCAGAATCAAAAATCTGGTTAACAGACACCTTCATGGTGACATTACAAGTGGACCAGTGAAGTTCACAAAACAGACAAGGTGAAAGAGATGGTGAAGCTTCACTTAGTGATGAGCCACGGGGAACTATAGCAGAAGCTGAACAACCAGCTGATGACAGTAGTGTTCCAGGGCAAATGGAGGTTAGGGAAAGACCCATTTGCAAAACAGAGAGAAAAAGGAACATACATCGTAACAGGTATCACTGTGGCAGCCACCAAAGGTAGACTAGTGGATTAAACACATAATTACCTACTAGATGATCCAAGATATCGAACCAAGTCTCAGACCTCAACCAGTCAAATTGAGGTGAAGTACAGTCAAGTGAGAGTGGGGTGCCTGATGTAAATCTGGACACCCTAAGGAGGCAAACCTCAGATTACCACCCACAAACCCACTAGAAATGAGATTTTTTTTAAAAAATGACCAAATTGAGTAAATGGATTATTTAACTGTGCAGTTGAAGGATTCAGACTTTGAATGTACTCAGTGAACAAGTCTGACTATTAGTCCCCAAGCAGGTTTTAAACTCAGTTAGGACAAAGATTGAATGCAAAACGTATTTATGGTGTCATCTCAAATTCTGTATTGTTCTTTTATGGTGACCTGGTAATGAAATGCTCACCATAAGTTAAAATGAGAAATATTGTTTGCATTCTTTCTTCATGGTGAAGAAGTGTCACGATCATTGTAAAAATGAACTATGAATATTCAAATTCCATCACCTGTTGGCATACCTGGTAACTTCCGTGGATTAATAAATTGGTTTTAAAAGGCAAATATTGATCCAAAATGACTGCAGTGATCACCTGGCCACAGAATGAGACAAGTCCAGAGTACCAGAGGTTGCCATGATGGCTCTGCTTTCTCACTTTGCCCCTTACCTGAGGCATAGTGGCCCTAAAGTTAAATTCATCATCAGTCATCCCTCTCAAATGACAGCATCCCATGGTCCTCTGGGACAATGGTGGTTTTCACTTTCATAGAATAAATTAAACTAGTTGCATTGAGATTACTTTGTTATCTAAAGACTCAACCAGTCCAATGTGTCAGTGTGAAGAAACTGACATCTCTTTTTGATTCAAACTTGCATGATAAATTCATTTATCAAGTGATTAAAGGTCACTTGCAGAGTATTCAGTTTTTAAGGAAAATGGAGTAGACTCAGGAATATACAAATGGCTATATATCAAGTGGCTTTGAACAGCAGACAGAAATTAAATATGACAACAGCAAGGAAAGTGCAAGATTCTCTTCTTTCTGTCTCTCTCAAAAATAAATGCAGTGCTCTATTTAAAAAGTAAGTGGGGAACAACTATTCACTATGAATTCAAGCTCTACAAACTTTGCCAATACAAGTCAATAATTAAACAAGTGTTCTCAAATATAAAATCTAAAACTTCAAAGATTCTGAGGGCATTTGTTTAAAAAACATTGTAGCTGCAGCTAAAAAAAGTTAAAATTAGGATCAACCAAGAGGCAGTTAAAAAGAAGAGCCAATTCCCCCTCCTCATCTGGTTTTAACATAATTGCTGATAACAACTCAATAGCAATCTCAACCTTTTTGTATAGCTCTGAGAGATGCAACAGTCCCAGTTTTAACTTGGACTCAGGAATGGAACATGCAAGTCAGCACGTTCCATGCATGGAAAGCCAGGCATCTAGTCAAATTCATGCATCTATGGTGACCTTGATGGAATTTCCCATCCACGATTTAAAGCTTCAGCACTGCTTTGCAAGATAGTCTGAGAATAAAAAAAGTATTGACTGAGAAGTACAGTTAGAAATCTGTTCAAAATAGTTGAAGAGAAAAGGCAATCCCTTAGTTCTCAGACACTTTCTTGCAAGATCAAGCTGGATGTGGGCTTGGACGATGTCCTGTTCACTTCAGAAAACCTGTTGCCATCACTAAAAAAGCCATAAGTAGAGATAGTTGACAAAGCTTGCAGCAGGAGGGTCACAGCATGGCACTGGTAATGTTTAAAATCAATTAACTTTGGAAGGTCAGAACATTCTTTACTCATTTTCTGCATCAACGGAATGTTATAGTGCAAAACCGCTCATACTCATCTCCCAATGCATATTTTCACATTCTCATCTCAATTGCTACTCAATCCACACCTACTCTCAGCAGACTTCAACTCACACTAGCCATTTTTTGCAAATGCAAATTATTCCGCTATTTTTATGCCTGTCTATTCTCACTTTAACTTATTGCACAACATCTAAAGGAAGCATACAATCTTTCTGATCACTTTCAATGTCATCCTTCCAACTTGACATACTTAGTAACAGGAGGGCAGGACTTGCATAAAACCAGATTGTAGAATTGATCCTGGTGGAGGAGAACCAGACACACTTCTAGTCCCCTGAACATTGATGATGGTGTGGTTGAAGAACCAAGGTGACTAATTTAACTTTGCAAGCCCTCATGTGCCACAATCCACTTGCACCTTCAGGTGACATCAGCTTTACATCAAGTAGCTTGGTCAAATGGCTTTACGTGAATTGCATCTTTTAAGAAGCATTACTATAATTTGAGGAGTAACATGAGCTTCTGTCCACACGGGAAGACGTAAAGATGATTTATCAATCCTAAGGATATCATCCTATGCTACACACATTGCAAGCACCTGCATAAATACTGGCACACCAAGTGGGTGCATTTTTCAGGTAGATGAGCTTACATCTGAGGAGTCTCACAGCACAAATGAGCAGAGGAAGGTATTAACGGCACAGACAACACAGAAGAATGGATGTGAATTGGCCAGCCTTTCCAAGCTCTGTCCAGCAGGATGGTGGAGATTAGCAATGAAAAAGGGAATACTGAAGGCACACAAATTAATATGTAAAATCTCAGCAATTCCGCTAGGTACTTTCTCCATTACGGTAGGAGGCTGGAGTTGTCCACTTCCACCATGATTTTTTTAAAAGGGGTTACCAATTTTGCTTGTGGCTCTTGCTGAGAGTCATAAGCCACTCAAATCACTATTTTTAACCTTCCTAGAAGCTTCAGATCCCACAGACTCTGGGATCATATGTATACTCCAGTTTAGGAAAGCTGGTGGACAGATTAGATCAGGTCGGTACCTATACCACAAGTGGTATGGGTGACATGTCTACATGAAGCACCAACCTATGACTGAAAGATGCTCCCACAGCCTATGTGTCATGTCTTCCAATTCCCATCCATCCTCTTGCTCACCAAATGGTAAGGTCTATAGGCCTTTTCTAGCATACCACCAGCCCCATGTTAAGCACTATTATGCAGGATGCAAAATTCCATTATTATTCTGGATAAGCTGACTGGTATGCAACATGGGGATTTTCTAGACCTGTTAAAGTATCTGACCCTCACTTTCAGTATCCTAATTATCTGCTGTATTACACACTTGATGATATGGCAGTTTTTGTACTTTTTCTCCTGCAGAGTGATGTGATTCTGAAAGTGTTATCATTACTGACAGAAATGGGTTTTTCTTGTTTCAAAGTAACCATCCCTTAAATTTGGTCTATTGCCTGACATATTTGTGTGGTTGAGACACCCTGATAGGTCCCCCTTGGCAATCATAAAAGATGAACATGATGGTCACTTGCATTAGCATGTCTGCAGGGTCAGCAGATAGAAGGTATGCCTCAAGAAGCCTGTAGAGCTCCCCAACCATCTCTCTTGACAACTGGAGCCTCCTGAAGTACTGCTCCAAAAGCAAGTCAAGGAAATCAATCTTCTACAACAAAAGACCCGCCAATCATGATACTGTCTTTAGTATAATGTGGCAGCTGAAATTGCCATTTCTTTTTTTAAAACTACTTGCCTGATCTATTCAAGGTATACATTAGATATTTGGTGATCAAAATTTAGAACACTGAACAAGTATGCCATGTATGAGATTTGTGTGCAAAGGCTTAATTCAAAATAAATTTTGATAGTTAAACCAATTTCAAGTTGTGTAGGTCCACAGTACATAACCATCAGCAATTTGTAAATTAACCCAGTAGTCTCAATTAAAAATGATTAGTGCAAGTTATAGTTTAAGATAAAGCTTTTATGACAGCAGAATGAAAAGAGAACAGCCACTATTGCTTCAGTCTGCATGTGGTTTCACTATATTTTTTAAAAAATGTACAACTTTCCCCAATTAAAATTAATAGCTTTCACACAAGAAATTCTGTACTCTACAGTAAACAACTCAAAGCTAGAACACCTTTAATGTAGTAAAAACAGACAAGATACTACAATTTTGCTAGAGTTCTCCTGGCAATGGCATCAACCAACATGAAACACATTGAAAAGTTAAAATGGTCTTCCATTCTCTTTACCTCTATCTTTTAGGTTGTGTTACACAGTTCACTGCAGCCATTTGTTTATTGCATCTAATAATGTTCTGTTTCTTTAATTTAGAGAAGCTGTCAAAGCAGTAACCAATGTTCAGCATTTGGAATACAATGACGAGAACCCACCATCATGGTTTGGATATGATAACGAAGGGAATGAGCTGGTCGCCAACATGGAAGATGAATAGACATGAAATGCTTAATCATCAAATTGTTAAGAAAATCAGAAATTTACTTTCTATATATAAGATTATATACTTTTAATAATCCATAGATGTAACCTTTAACAATTACTTTGACCATTTGTGAAACAAAAAATTAATTTCACAATTAAAAGTTCAAGATAGAGATTGTATTTGTATTGAAAGACAACTAGATTGATTACCAATATCATTTGAACTAGTGTCCACAAAATATTACAACTAAAGTTGTGTCAATAGTCAAGTTTTTTTCCAATGTTTAATTCTGGTATTTGATTTCTGTAACAGGAAGGATAGCACAATGTTATACGAGTCCTTCAATAATAGAGGAATGACCACTGCAAAAACAGAAGTCAAAAATTGATAAAAATAATCAAAAAATTTAGATACAGTAACCAACAATGCATGTCACACATTTCATCTAAATTTTAAGGTTGAATATTATAGATTTTCAACTGTGATATTCTTGTTTCAAAATTATATATTTGTGCATTTCAGTTAAAAGTTTAACTTGTGCAACACTGGCTTATATACATCACTTAATGAGCTATAAGGTAATTCTACTAATGAAATATTCAAGTTACATCATTGCAACAGTTTGTTCAAAGTTTGAAGAAGTTTATTTAAACTACTTTTTGGATATTCACATTTCAAAACAAATGGACAAATAAATGACAATTATTCAATAACAACATGGTTTTGTTATGAAATTACATTGCATGCATTTGAATTAGGAAAATGGTAACAAAAATAAATATCTGCATTTTTATTCAGCACCATTCACAAGCTCAGAATGCCTCAAAGTACAGGTAGTTCTCCTATAACACGATAGTTGTATTCTTGTGTGACCTCACACTATAGAAAATTGTAATAGAAAATCGCGTTATGGGAAACAGTTATAGAAAATTGCTATACTGTACTGTTTAAAGTTTGCGTTATCCAAACAGCATCGACTATTCATCAATCGCATCACAGCCCCAATTCACTTTAATGAAACACGCATGATAGCAGAAATACCTGTATTTACACCCATTAATCAGCAGGGCATGTTTTAATGCATAGGAGGAATTAATTTCTCTTTAATAAGTAAATTTAGTTCAAATTCAAGGCAATGTCAGAAGATGCAGGATTAAAACTGAATATTATGATAATATATTTTTCCTGTATTATGTTGAACAATAAAACCTGTAAGTCAGAGACACCCCAAGAATCTGCACCTGGTTGTCTCATTTTCAACATGGTAATTTGTGCAAATTGAACTGAGAGGAACCAAATATCCCAGTGCTAGCTGCATCTCCTGCAAGAATCATTGTTTCTTTCAGACTCTCTTGGGATTGTGTCAAATTCTAGAGCTCCTCCAATAGGATTTGACCACAGTTGCATTCTCGTTCATTGGGGTTCCCAGTTCATTGTCATCTTGGGGTCATTTTCTGTTGAAATAGTCTCGATCTTAAGATCTGCTGCTGCACTGACAGCCTGCACAGGGCAAAGTCAACAACTGTAGGACTAGAGTGCCTGGAAGATCCCAGCCAATCAGTGGCTTAACTGATTGTGTGAAATGTCTCTCTTGCCCTGTGTTTAAAGTGGGGGAGTGGTGGGTAGAGGAGTGTTAGTGCACCATGTCTATCGCACAGGTGTTAGAACGGATGATCCTCCAAATCTAGTTTTCCTTTTTCCTCACTTTAGTCGCCAACCTGTTTTTGGTATGATTGAGTGCTTAGCTCAGCATATGTATCATAGTTATTGCTTGTTCGCTGACTGGAACTTTACTCCAAAATTGCTTCTATACTCTGTATTAAATACCATTTAAATTAGAAACATCAACTTTCCTGCTCCTCTGATGCTGCCTGGCCTGCTGTGTTCCTCCAGCTCCACATTGTGTTATCTCTGACTCCAGCAGCTGCAGTTCTTACTAACTATGAGAGTTGGGAGAATCTTTGTTAGGATACCATTATTGTTTGCAGAGCCAGTAGCAGCCTGTAAGATGCAAGAATAATGAGTGGAGCTAGAATCATCTTGAACTGAGGGTTTTTATTTACATGACAGGATTCTTTACCATGTGTAGCAATTGAAGTCACAACTGAAGTTTAATTTTATGGAGAATGGGGGTAAGTATTTGACAAGGAAGAATATAAAAGAACTGGGAGAAGCCAATAGTTCGGTTTCAGAAAGCCTCCTGGGTTTTTGGAACTTGAACAAGAAGTGATGGTGTGAAATCAAGCAAAGATCCTAAAATGTAGGGTATCCAACCTCTGAGGTAAATGTAATAGTTATGGGTGATTGTGCATTACATTGTTCAGCTAGTTGGCAACCCTAAGCAAGATGCCCTTTAAGCTTCAGCATGCTAATCAGTGTGCTCTCCATCTTCAAGTAATGGTATCCACTTTGTATCCATTCCTATCAACCTATCAAATATTTCTAATTTAAATGGTATTAATTACAAATTGTAGAAGCAATTTTGGAGGAAGAGTGACTGACCATTACATTCTATTATTAGGCTAATACTCTACATTTGTTTGAAGAACATAAAAACGCTATAAAATTAAATGCCTAAAAACTGGCAAAAACTTGACAATTAATCAGTTACAGATAATTTCTGAACAATGTATAACATATTATCATGACATAAACATGATTAATATAATTTTCTTTACAGTTGAAATAAAGTTGCAGAAGTACATCTAATAACTATACATGGAAGCTCGCAACTCATCAATATGGAGGTAACAAAAGTCCATTTGGTATAGTAGGGACTCATTACAATGACTTTAGCTTCAGAGATTCAATCCAACTATAGCTTTTAATGTTCAGCGTACCACGCACTGCATGAGCCTTGATTAAATGAGCATCTTCTCCTCTACCATTCAGAAAAGCTGAAATCCCAGGGGAAAAATGTATTACTTACTGAATTCATATTTCACCTTACAAATCACATTTGGGTTGATACAGTCTATTCCTTTGGCAACACATTTTTTTGCAAACCTCATCCAACCACCCCGTTTCAAGGTTGCTGTATTTTATAGTCATTGTTCTGTTTAAATAACATATTTTCAATGGTTTATGTTATCCATATATTTTTAGAAATATAACATATAACCGATGTATTTATTTGTACAATCTGTAATTTAGAAATAAAGTAATTTAGACAGAATAAACATGAAATATTTCAAAAGCTAGTTTAGATTTATACAAAAATATACACAGGTACTGAAAATCTGAAATAAAACAAACTGCTGAGAAAACCCAGCAAGTTAGACAGCATCTGTGGTCACTGAAAAGGTATTTCAGGTGATGACCATTAATAAGAAAAGTCATCACCTGAAACTTTAACTTCTCCACAGATGATGCCTGAATTGCTAAATATGTTGACATATTTATCTTGAAGTTGGATAATTAGCAACACAGAATTTACTTGTTTTAACATTACTGTCCATACTTAAAAGAATGGACATATTGTTTAAGACTATCAATGGAAACAACATTCCATTTGCTTTACGAATCTACTGATCATCATGAAATCATTGCCAATTGTCGGAAAAACCTATCTGATTCACGGATGTCCTTCAGGAGGTGAAATATGCCACCCTCACCTGGTCTGGCCTATATGTGACTCCAGGCCCACAGCAATGTGGTTGACTCTCAACTGCCCTCTGAAATGGCATTGCAAGTCATTCAGTTGTACGAATTGCTACAAAGTCTCAAAGAAATGAAACTGCGTGGATCACCTGGCTTCAACCAAGGCATCAGAAAAGATAACGGCAGAAACAGCTCTGTTGACCATGCAAAGTCCTCCTAACATCTGGGGGCTAGTGCCAAAATTGGGAGAGCTGTCTCACAGACTAGTTAAGCAACAGTCTGACATAGTCATACTCACAGAATCTTAACTTACAAACAACGTTCCAGACACCACCATCACCATCCCATGATATGTCCTGTCCCACCGGCAGGATAGATCCAGCAGAAGTGGCGGCAGCACTGTGGTATACAGTCGGGAGGCTATTGCTCGAGGAGTCCTCAACATTGACTCCGGACCCCATGAAGTCTCATGGCTTCAGGTTAAACACGGACAAGGAAACCTCCTGCTGATTACCACATACCGAAAAAGTACTGAGGATGGCAAGGGCACAAAATGTACTCTGAGTGGGGGATTTCAATGTCCACCACCAAGAGTGGCTCGGCAGCAGTACTACTGATCGAGTCGAAGCTGGTCGGGTCCTAAAGGACATCGCTGCTAGACTGGGTCTGCGGCAGGTGGTGAGGAAACTGACAAGAGGGAAAAACGTACTTGACCTCATCCTTACTAATCTGCCAGCTGCAGTTGCATCTGTCCATGACAGTATCGGTAAGAGTGACCATTGCACAGTCCTTATGGAGACAAAGTCCTGCCTTCATATTGATAATGACTTCCATCATGTTGTGTGGCACTATCACCGTGCTAAATGGGACAGACTTCACACAGATCTAGCAATTCAAGACTGAGCATCCATGAGGCGCTGTGAGCCATCAACAGCAGCAGAAATTGTACTCCAGCACAATCTGTAACCTCGTGGCCCAGCATATCCCCCACTCAACATTACCGTCAAGACAGGGCATCAACCCTGGTTCAATGAGGAATAAAGGAGGGCATGCCAGGAGCAGCACCAGGTATACCTGAAGATGAGGTATCAACCTGGTACAGCTACCAAACAGGACTACTTGCACACCAAGCAGCAAAAGCAGCAAGTGATAGACAGAGCTAAGCAATCCCACAACCAACAGATCATCTCTAAGCTCTGAAGTCCTGCCACATCCAGTCGTGAATGGTGGTGGACAATTAAACAACTCACTGGAGGAGAAGACTCCACAAATATCCCCATCCTCAATAATGAAAGAGCCCAGCACATCAGTGCAAAAGATAAGACTGAGGCATTCGCAACAATCTTCAGCCAGAACTGCCGAGTGGATGATCCATCTTGGCCTCCTCCAGTGGTCCCCAGCATTACAGATACCAGTCTTCAAACAATTCGATTCACTTCACGTGATATCAAGAAATGGTTGGAGACACTGGATACTGCAAAGGCTACCGGCCCTGACAACATTCCGGCAATAGTACTGAAGACTTGTGCTCCAGAACTTGCTGCTCCCTTAGCCAAGTTGTTCCAGTACAGTTACAACACTGGTATCTACCCAACAATGTGGAAAATTGCCCAACTATGTCTGTACACAAAAAGCAGGACAAATCCAACCCGGCCAATTACCGCCCCATCAATCTACTCTCGATCATCAGTAAAGTGATGGAAAGTGTCATCAACAGCGCTATCAAGCAGCACCTGCTAAAGGCCAGGGCCACTCAGCTCCTGATCTCATTACAGCCTTGGTTCAAACATGGACAAAAGAGCTGAATTCCAGAGGTGAGGTGAGAGTGACAGCCCTTGATATCAAGGCTACATTCGACCGAGTGTGGCGTCAAGGGGCCCTGGCAAAACTGGAATCAATGGGTATCGGGGGGCAAACTCTCCGGAGGTTGGAGTCATACCTGACAAATAGGAAGATGGTCGTGGTTGTGGGAGGTCAATCATATCAACTCAGCTCTAGGACATCTCTGCAGGCGTTCCTCAGGGTAGTGTCCTAGGCCCAGCCATCTTCAGCTGCTTCATCAATGACCTTCCCTCCATCATAAGGTCAGAAGTGGGGATGTTCGCCGATGATTGCACTATGTTCAGCACCATGACTCCTCAGATACTGAAGCAGTCCATGTTCACATGCAACAAGATCTGGACAATATCCAGGTTTGGGCTGACAAGTGGCAAGTGACATTCGCGACACACAAATGCCAGGCTATGACCATCACCAATAAGAGATAATCTAACCACCACCCCTTGACATTCAATGGTGTTATCATCAGTGAATCCCCCACTATCAACATCGTGGGGGTTACCATTGACCACAGACTCAACTGGACTCACCATATAAACACAGTGGCTACAAGAGCAGGCCAGAAGCTAGGAGTACTGCGGCGAGTAACTCACCTCCTCACTCTTCAAAGCCTCTCCGCCATCTACAAGTCACAAGTCAGGAGTGTGATGGAATACTCCTCACTTGCCTGGACAAGTGCAGCCCCAACAACACTCAAGAAGCTCGACACCATCCAGGACAAAGCAGCCTGCTTGATTGGCACTACATCCACAAGCATTCAGTCCATCTACCACTGACGCTCAGTAGCAGCAGTATGTACAATCTACAAGATGCACCGCAGAAATTCACCAAAGATCCTTAGACAGACCTTCCAAACCCACAACTATTTCCATCTAGAAGGATAAGGGCATCAGACTTATGGGAACACCCCTACCTCCAAGTTCCCCTCCAAGTCACTCACCATCCTGACTTAGAAATATATTGCCGTCCCTTCACTGTCGCTAGGTCAAAATCCTATAACTCCCTCCCTAATAGCATTGTGGGTCAACCCACGGCAGGTGGACTGCAGTGGTTCAAGAAGGCAGCTCACCACCAGCTTCTCAAGGGCAACTAGGGATGGGCAAGAAATGCTGGCCAGGCTGTGACGCCCACATCCCACAAATGAATAGAAAAAAAAAACCAATGTGCTTCAAGATAGTCTAATCAGGTATGAGACATCTTTAAAGATCAAAAATAGAATTTGATTTATTTTTGAAGAACGGTGCTATGAGAAAGCACACTGCAATACAAAATCAAGATCTGGACTATATACAGACTTGGGCTGACAAGTGGTAAGTGACATTCACTGATGGGGAATAAATTATACTTTAAACTAATCAAAACTATTACCATACAACTTAAGCAGAGTTTGAAAACAAAAAAAATCAGTTCCAGAATCACAATTAAATGAAAATGATAAATGCTGGAAATTTGGATAATATAACTGTTTCTTATTTTCAATTAACTACTTTAGTAAACACTCATTTTATTTCCAGAGCCAAAGTTCTAAAAAATAAATAATGGATTCTGTGCGATGTTGTATTTAATAAGGCAGATTTTCTAAATGTTGGTTGTGCAAAGCTAGAAGTTAACAATTCAAGCTAAATTAAGGTATGCTGTATATGGAAAATTCTTTTCACATCTAAATTTAGGTATATTCCTGTAAAGATTCATCTTACCGTGAACAGTTTGGTGATTTTGCTGAGTGCTATTATCAATGTCCTCCAGATGAATCTCAGGACTGACCTCTACTATTGATCCAGATAGCAGTAGCTCAGCTCTTAAGGCTTTAGGCAGTTTTAATGTGATAGAACCTGTCATGATCAAGACAAGTTTTAGAATGAATAAAAAGTAATGATATAAACACAACGCTGGGGTATAAACATAAATAAATACATCCCTAAAATATCAATACTCCAGTCGATGTGAAATGGTATCATGAAACAAATACAGAGAATTTTTCCCTGGCCAAGCCAGCATTCATGGTCTAATCCTAGTTGCCCTTGTGGTGGTGGCGGCAGTCAGCTACTTTCTTAAACTGATGCAGTCCATATGCTGTACGTAGACCTTTAGGGAGAGAATTCCAGGATTTTGACAGTGAAGGAACAGTGATATATTTCCAAGTCAGGATGGTCAGTGGCTTGGAGGGGAACTTGAAGGTAGTAGGGTTCCCATATCTACTGCCCTTGTCCTTCTAGATGGAATTGGTCATGAGTTTGGAAGATGCTGTCTAAGTAGCCTTGGTAAATTTCTGCAGTGCAGCTTATCGATAGTACACGCTGCGGCCGAGCACCAGTGGTGGAATCACTGAATCTGGATGTGAGTTTGGTACCAATCAAGTGGGCTGCTTTGTTCTGGACAGTGATCAAGATCCTTGAATGTTGCTGAGCTGCACTCATCCAGGCAAGTGCAGAATATTCCATCAGACTCCTGATTTGTACCCTGTAGACAGAGGACAGGCTTTGGGGAGTCGGGTGAGTTATTCACTGCAGGATTCCTAGTCTCTGACCTGTTCTTGTAGCCACCCTATTTATATGGCTAGTCCAGTTCAGTTTGTGGTTAATAGTAACCTCCAGGATGTCGATAGTGAGGGATTCAGTGATGGCAACACTACTGAATGTCATTCGCTGGCATTTGTAGGTCATGAATGTTATTTGCCACTTTTAAGTCAAAGCCAGGAAATTGGCCAGGTCTTGTTGCATTTGGATATGGAGTGCTTCAGTATCTGAGGAGTCACGAATGGTGCTAAACATTATGTAATCATTGAACATTCCCTGTTCTGATCTTATGATAGAGTCATACAGTCATTGAGTCCTACAGCACAGAGACAGACCCTTTGGCCCAAACTGGCCCATGTCAACCAAAGTGTCCATTCACGCTAACCTCATTTCCCTGCACTTGGTCCATATCCTTCTAAACCTTTCCTATCCATGTATTCATCCAAACGCCTCTTAAAGTACCCACCTCAACCACTTCCACTGGCAGCTCATTCCATTTGTGTTCCACCCTCTATGTAAAGAAGTTGCCCTTCAGGTGCCCATGTTGATATAGATTACAAACAGCAATGGGCCCAGCACCGACCTCTGAGGCACACCACTATTCACAGTCCGACAAATATCCTTCCACTATCACTCTCTGCTTCCTACCATCAAGCCAATTGTGTATCCAATTTGCCAGCTCTCCCTGGATTTCATGCTATCTAACCTTCCAGAGCAGCCTACCACATGGAACCTAATGAAAGGCCTTACTGAAATCGATACAGACTATGTCTACTGCCCTGCCCTCATCAACTTTTCTAGTCTCACTTCATCAAAAAACACGAACAAATTTGTGAGGCATGATCTCCTATGCATGAAGCTATGCTGACTATTCCCTAATCAAATCCTATCTTTCCAAATGCATGTATATCTTATCCCTTAGATCTTCTCAAGTAACTTACCTTCCACAGATGTTCAGCTCACCTAGTCTATAATTCCCAGGTTTTTCTCTGCAGCCCTTCTTGAATAAAGGCAGAACATTCGTAACCTCCAGTCTTCCAGGATCTCACCCATGGCTAACAATGATAAAAACATATCAGCCAGGGCCCCCGCAACTTCTTCTCTAGTCTCTTGCAGGGTTCTTGGATATATCTGGTCAGGACCAGGAGATTTATCCACCTTCGTACATTCTAATACTTCCAACACCGCCTACTGTGATACCCAAGATATCGCAACTAACTTCCCCAAGTCTTCATGTCTTTCTCCACGGTAAACACAGGAGAAATATTCATGGAGGACCTTGCCCATCTCCTGCGATTCCACATGTAAATGTCCATTTTGGTCCTTGAGGGGGTCCTATTCTCTCTCTAGTTATTCTTTTTTCTTTAATATACTTAAAGAACCTCTTTTGGGTTCACCCTAATCTTCTAGCCAAAGCAATCTCATGCTCCCTTTTTGCCCTCCAGATTTCCTTCTTCAGTAACCTCCTGTATCCCCTATATATCTCCAGGGATTCCCTTGATCCCAGCTGCCTGTACCTGAGCCATGCCTCCTTTTTTTCTAGTCACAGTCTCAATATCTCTTGTCATCCAGGGTTCCCCATTCCTGCCAACCTTGCTGTTCACCTTCACAGAAACATACAGACCTTGAACTCTAGCTATCACACTTTTAAAGGCCTCCAACTTGCCAGAGGTCCCTTTGCCTGCAAACAAACTACTCCAATCAGCCCCTGCAAGCTCCTGTCTAATTCCATCAAAATTCACCTTGCCCCAATTTAGAACTTGAACCTGTGGACAGTTTTGATCTTCTCCATAACTATTTTAAAATTAATAGAACAATGGTCACTGGTCCCAAAGTGCTCCTCCACTCTCACCTCAGTCACCTGTCCTGCCCTATTTCCCAAGAGTAGGTCAAGTTTTTCCCCTTCCCAAGTAGGACTTGAGGATACTGCTTGAGGAAACTTTCCTGAACACGCTGGAGGGAAGGTTGTTGATGAAGAAGATGAAGATAGCTGGGCCTAGGACACTACCCTGATGAACCCCTGCAGAGATGTCTTGGAGCCGAGATAACTAATATCCAATAACCACAACCTTCTTTCTGTAAGTCAAGTACGAGTCCAACCGTCTGAGAGCTTCTGCTCTGATTCCCAATTGACTCTAGCTTTGCTAGAGGTCTTTGATGGTATACTTGATCATATATAGCTTTGATATCAAGCACTATCACTCTCACTTCACCTCTGGAATTCAGCTTTTATTGTCCATGTTTGATCCAAGACTGTAATGAAGTTAAGAGCTGAATGGCCCTAGCAGAATTCAAACTGGGCATCAGTGAGCAAGTTATTGCTGAGAACCTTCCATCTCTTAGCTGATGATCGAGAATAGTCATGTGGGATGGTAGTTGGCTGGGTTGGATTTGTCCTGCTGTGTGCGCACAGGATATATCTTGATAATTTTCCAGATTGTCGGGTAGATGCCAGTGTTGCAACTGTACTGGAAGAGCTTGGCTTAGGGTGCAACACATTCTGGAGCATAAGTCTCAGTATTATTGCCAGAATGTTGTCAGAACCCACAGCTTTTGCAGTATCCAGTGTCTCTAAACTGTTTTTTGATATCACATGGAGTGAATCAAATTGCCCAAAGACTGGCATCTGTGATACTAGGGGCTTCTGGAAGAGGCCAAGATGGATAATCTCCTTGGCACTTCTGGCTGAAGATTCACGTTTTGCACTAATGTGCTAGACTCCCTCATCATTGAGGACAGGGATATTTGTGGAACTTGCTCCTCCAGAGAGTTGTTTAATTGTCATCACCGTTCATGGTAGAGGTACTGAACAGCTTAGACCTGATCCACTGGTTGTGGGATCGCTTGGCTCTGTTCATCACATTTTGCTTATATTATTTGGCATGCAAGTTGTCCTGTTCTGTACCTTCACCAGGCTGACACCTCATTTTTAGGTATGCTGAAGAAACTCAGATCTGGCCCTAGCTGAGAGAATCTCAGATGCTCCCAGACTTGCTGAGTTTCTCCAACATTCTCTAAAAATTTTTGTTTCAGATTTCCAGCATCCACAGTATTTTGCCTTTACTGAAAATGATATTATGTTGTATAAGTATGTTGCACATACATCCAGCCAAATATAGTGTCACAGGTTAATATACTGCTTTAGCCCAATTGCAGTTAACTTCCTTGAAGTAGCAAAGTATACTGTAAGAATGCTATCATGACAGAACTGGTTTCTAAAAATGAACAATAATTAAAACAAATGTAACTGAAACGCTAATTTTGAAAGTGGACATTGTATGGTTCCACACCAAGCTTCCAGTAGAAAAATAAAACAACACGTATGCTGAAATCCCTTGATAGTTCAACAAGTTTGTTGAGCCAGTGGTTGAGCTATAAATATTAGATTTAATTTCTGATTTGTACAGTGATAGCTGGAAGCAATGTGGATAGATTTTAGTCTAGAAATTTCAGGTTCACTGCAGCTGCTCAAGCAGAGAGCATTTTTAGCTTCAGTCTGGTGATCTAAATAACATTTCCGTTAACTCTACAGTTGATATTTCAGTTGACGCTAAAAGCAAGCAGATGGCTGGACTATTCATGCACCGAGTTCTCAACCTGAAAGTATTCTGCCACATTCGCAAGCAGCCTGTGAGCACTATTTAACAGTAAAGCACCATTGTTTAATTTTAATCCTCCCTCTCACCTAAAAATGCACCTCCAACCATGGTGGCGATCATGGGGATATAAAAAAACAAAGAACGGTACAGCACAAGAAGAGGTTCTTCAGCCCACTAAGATTGCACCCACGCATATGCCTTTCTAAACTAACAGCCTTTTGCCTCTATGAGGTCCATTACTCTTATGTTCCTTGCCTATTTATATACCTATCAAGATGCCTCTTCAATAGTGCAATCGTATCTGCCTCCACCATGTCCTCTGGTATCAAATTCCAGGCACTTCCCACCCTTTGTGTACAAAACTTACCTCTTACATCTCCTTTAAACTTACCCCCTATTACCTTAAACCTCTGTCCCCTACTAATCGACATTTCTAGCCTGGGAAAAAGATTCCAACTATCCATGCCTCTCAGAAGTTGACAAAATTATATCAGGTTCCCCACCGCCCCCCCATCCTTTGGCATTCAAGTGAAAACAAACCAAGTTTGTCCAATCGCTCCTCACAGCTGACACCCTTCAAACCAGGCAACACCCTTGTAAACTGTTTCTGTACCCTCTCCAAAGCCTCCAGCTCCACATCCTTCTGGTAGTGTGGCAACCAGAACTGTACACAATATTCCAAATGTGGCCTAAATAAAGCTCTGCACAGCTGCAATG